TCTGACATAAAACACAAAAACTAACTCGAAAGATATTAAATACTTAAATATAAGACCTAAAAGTGTAAAACTCCTAGGAGAAAACAGAAATAAAAGCTCCTTGACATTGGGTCTTAGCAGTGATTTTCTGAGATACGACATGAAATACACAGGCAAGCCAAAATAAATAAATGGAACTATATAAAACTAAAAAGCTTCTTCACAGCAAAGGAAACAATCAACAAAACGAAAAAGCAATCTATGGAATGAGAAGAAATATTTGCAAACCATGTAACTGATAGGGGATTAATATCTAAAACTATATAAAGAACTCATATAACTGAATTCCATAAAAACAAATAACTCAATTACTAAACAGGCAAAAAGGCCTGAAAGACATTTTCCCAAAGAAGACACAAAAATGGCCAACAGGCATATGAAAAGGTACTCAATATCACTAACCATCAGGAAAATGCAAATCAAAAAGAAAATGAGATATCACCTAACATCTCTTAGGATGGTTGTAATCACAAAACAAGAGATAACAAGTGATGACAAGAGTGTGAAGACAAGGGAACTCTTGAACACTGTTGATGGAAATGTAAATTGGTATAGCCATTATGGTATGGCAGTTCCTCAAAAAATTAAAAATAGAACAACTATTTGATCCAGCAATCACACTTTTGGTATATCCCAAAGAAAAAGAAATCAGTATCTTGAATAGATATCTGCACTCCCAGGTTTACTGCAGTATTATATACACTAGCCATGATATGGAAACAAGCAGCCATCAACAGATGAATAATAAAGAATATATATAGGCTGGGCATGGTAACTCACGCCTATAATTCCAGCACTTTGGGAGGCTGAATATGAGGTCAGGAGATCAAGACCATCCTGGCCAACATGGTGAAACCCCATCTCTACTAAAAATACAAAAATTAGCCGGGCATGGCAGTGAGTGCCTGTGGTTCCAGCTAGCTACTTGGGAGGCTGAGGGAGGAATATGGCTTGAACCCAGGAAGCGGAGGTTGCAGTGAGGCGAGATCGCGCCACTGCACTCTGCACTCCAGCCTCGGCGATAGAGCGAGACTCCACATCAAAAAAAAAAAAAAAAAAAAAGGCTCCTAAACAAGTACTCTTAGGACAGTTTCGTGGGTAAGGTGATTATGAAGCAAAGGACCCAAAGACAGTATTCTCAAACAATGCCTGAATAGGCCTAGTGTCTATCCCAAATATGAGGAGCAGTTCCCTTCCAGTCATCACTCACAGAAGAGGCTGCCACCTCATATTGCTTTAATTAAAAGAAGTTTATTTCTTCACATTTTTAATTTTTGTGGGTACATAGTAGGTGAATGTCACTTGATGTTTCCAGTCTCATAAAGCCTTTCATGATATGGGGCATTCTCTGAATCTCTTTTTTTTTTTTTTTTGAGATGGAGTTTTGCTCTATCGCCCAGGCTGGAGTGCAGTGGCACCATCTCAGTTCACTGCAAGTTCTGCCTCCTGGGTTCACGCCATTCTTCTGCCCAGCCTCCTGAGTAGCTGGGACTACAGGTGCCCGCCACCGCACCTGGCTAATTTTTTGTGTTTTTAGTAGAGACGGGGTTTCACAGTGTTAGCCAGGATGGTCTCGATCTCCTAACCTCGTGATCCACTTGCCTCAGCCTCCCAAAATGCTGGGATTATAGGCGTGAGCCACCACGCCCGGCCTGAATCTCTTTATTTTGAACATCGCAGCACTATTTGGGTAAGTTATGCTAACCTGAAATTACCTCAATCAATGGGAGTTTTTAGATGCTTATGAAGGTTATCTGGCAGAATTGGTTGACTTTTTTTTTAAAAAAAGAGCAAAGCTACATAGAATTAGTAATTATGGTTGGGGTATGATCACCAAATTGAAGTGTTAAATGCGATTGTAAAAATCACCATAAAAGTAGCATAGTAAGTGGCGGTATCATCTTGTGCCTCAAGATGAATTTCCAGTGTGAAAGCGTCATGAAAGTGTCAAAGAATGATGCATCAAAGCCAATCTGATGGGAGTAAAAATAATGTGCCTCGGAAAACTGTGTCAGATAATTCAGAAAGTGGTTTAAGTGAAGACAAAGACCTGATGACATGGCTGCATATGAATAATTTAAATAAATTTTTTCATAAAATTTGAGAGTCAAGAATAAGCAATATATCTCAATTTTATATAATATGTGATTTTATATGTGTATTACATAATTTGTAATACATATTTTAAAATATAAAATATATTGTAACCCAAATTAAAAATTTAATGTTCAAAACATGTATTTATCTGTTTCATTAAGGTTGGCCTAAATACGTTTATTTGGACATTTTTCATTGTAAAATTGGACAGCGATCATCACATATTCAAAGCCATCTTGTATTTGGTTACATGCATTATTTACGGACACCCACCTCCTCCAATGTGAGCTTTAGCTCCTGGTTTTTGGGTTCTAAGTACAGCATGCCCTGTGCCTGCTTGTGACCCCTTGTCCTTCTGGTCAAGAAAACTATGGTATCTGTATCAGACTGAAATGTACATATGGTTATTTATTTGTGAGTTTTAAGGCTTTTGACTTATTAGGAAGTGACCTAGTTTTCATGCCTCAGCTTCTTATTGCAATTTTCTTAAAAGGATGTAGTACCTTCCCATACACACGTGAAAACAACATTATATAGCAGAGTAGTGGCCTTGGCAGAGACAGACAGGAGTTTCTATTTTCTCTGGTTAAGGCTGACTATGAACAATGAAAGAAATGATGAGAATGTGAACAACTAATCAGATATTTGCTAACTCATTCATTAAAACTGTATAAGAGGTTTTCATCTTTGTAAAGTCCTGTCCTAGCAAAGGCTAAAGCACTATCAACTGCAATTAGTAAACTCTTTAAGCTTCCAATTCAATCTAACCCATAAAAATGTTGCCTGAAACTTACTGGAAAATAATGCTTCTCCTGGGGGCTAGATTTACTGTGCTGATGTGGATTAAAATGACTAATCCTAGAATAATTCTATACTGCACACAAAATCAATTTCACAAACATGCATTTGATAGTCCGTTTGAAAGTCTGTTAATATTTTCAAGTGGAAAAATTATTGAACATTTTTACTCTATTAATCCTTCAAAAGAAAATTTGAAAAAAAATCTTCTCTATAAACATATTTTTCTTCAGCTTTTTAGAACTAGTATACTAGACACAGCCCACCCATAAGAAGGAGCTAAGAAAAATATATACGTGAATCCTGTTTCTCGCAGAAAGCTGTTGCTTTAGAAGCAATTAGGCCAACTGAGCCTGACAGCATGATTTCAGGAGGAATGCTGTGCAAGCTCCTATCTGTAATGAAAATTTGCACCGAAACAAGGAAGGGATAATACATGCAAAGAGATAACAATTCTGGAGTGCTCTCTATAAATCCGTTGCCCTTGGAAGGAATACAGTGGAGTAAGATGATAATGATGATTTTGGATTTCTGTTTGGTCCTTTTCAAAGGGAGGAAGGCACATAAACTAGCAGGTTCCACCACCCATCAATGTGAGGATTTGGTAAATGGAGAAAGCCTGTGACTGACGCATGGAAGGAGGAGAAAACCAGCCAAAATTTTCTTTGTAAGTTATGATTCCAAAGGAAGATTCCTCATCTCATAAAGTATACAACTCTGAATAGAACAAAGCTGAAGGGAAAATAGGTAATGAGGAGATTGGGATTTTATTTTGAAATTAATCAAATGTGGCTTAACAGATATTGTGAATTAAGCTTATTTCATGCCCAAGTCAGAAACAGCAACAGATACTACAGAAAAATCTCTATACAATATTATGGTGAAGATACATTAACATGGTGATTGGCAGTATTTGATTTAATTTGGACAAACAATACTGGGTTTAAACTGAAAGATGAGTTTTTAAAAATTCTCACAGTTTTAAATATACTTGCTTTAAAAACTTAATATAAGTCATCGGTGATCATTTTTTAGCACTACAATTTGTGTCTAACTCTACATGAGCAAAGAAGAAGTATATGATTGAATTCTGTACTTCTTTTCATTATTGTGTTTTTCCTATTGTTTCACAAGTTAGAAGGAGATGGACTGCTTATCTAAGACAATATCCCTTGGTTGAAGACGACTAAAAATAATGCCATGCCTGGTTAGATATGACTTATCGATCTCCAGTGGCACAATAATATATTGGTTCCTCAGAAAAACTGGCTATCTTTCAAAGATAGAGAAACCCAACTCATGATCATTCTTTTAAACAATCTTGATCATTAGCCAGCTCAGTTATAATAACTGATGGGCAAGCATTAGACACATAAGACTCTCATAGCCAAGACACATGGGAAGTATATTGTTAGCTTTTCGGCAAATATATAAGATTGGTTAATTCTGGAGAAAAAAGAAAATGTGTACTACATTGTCGCTTTAGGACAGAAGGTCCCAAACGAAGCTGTTTCAGAATTACCTGGGAAGCTTATTAAAAACAATGCTGCCTGGGTCCCACCCCAAATCTTAGATCAATCTTCTGCATTTTCAAAAAGCTCCCTTTCCTACATCCTGGTGATTCTATGTCCACAAGGTGTTTTTTTTTTTTTTTTTCTTTTTTCTTTCTTTTTTTTTTTAGTTCTTCTTCTCTGAAACAGAGTCTCAGTCTGTCACCCAGGCTTGAGTGCAGTGGTACAATCTCAGCTCACTGCAACCTCTGCCTCCCGGGTTCAAGCGATTCTCCTGCCTCAGCCTCCTGAGTAGCTGGGACTACAGGCGCATGCCACTATGCCCGGCTAATTTTTTGCATTTTTAGTAGGGATGAGGTTTCACCATGTTAGCCAGAGTGGTCTTGATCTCCTAACCTTGTGATCCGCCCACCTCAGCCTCCCAAAGTGTTGGGAATACAGATGTGAGCCACTGTGTGGCCCGTGTCCTCAAGGTTTCAGCACTGCTGCTCTCAAGGATAGTGGTGGGATGTCTTATGCTACAAATCATTAATATTCCTGATGTCCATTACTCACGTGTAAACCTTAAGAACAAAATCCTTTTCTTCCTTTACTTCTGTGAGTGACTGTAGGGCATCCAAGATGCTTAGGACCGCACAGCCATATGGTCGCCTGTAGTGCAGGTGAGGAGGACCTTTCTTTGAGTCGTTCAGGAGCATCCGGCCTTGGGCACAGCAGAAAACACCAGTCAGATTGAGAAAAGCATGCTCCTCTCCAGTATTGCCTAATTGTCATCCAAGGATGCCTGAGTTACAGGCACCTAGGAAATCCTCTAAGTTGGAAGACTATAGGGCTGAAGGGAGTCATCCAAGGATATTTATGTGTAAGAAGACCAAAGAGGCCTCTGGCCAAAGCTCTTCCCTGTACTACATTCAATCAATCATTCTTATCTAACTCTAAATCAATATCAACAGTTCATTTATTAATCACATGAGAATAAAAGTGATTTTATGAATTTCTTAGAAAAACCAATGTGCTAATAATAGATTTACACTTCTCAGGTACGTTATAGGTACAAAGTTTAGTATTTTAGCTGCCAGGTATAAGCTACATATGTACAGACAAGGAGGATACTGTGTTCTTTCAACCAAATTCCGCTGTTCAACATCATCCTGAACAACTGTGGGATTCAGAGTAGACTTAAAAAGTGGATGAATATTTACTTTTCCAGCTTACCAAAGCTGTGCCTACAGCAGCAAGAAGAGTTGCATATGCTGGAACCTTAACAAACACTTTAAGTACAGCAAAATAGCTGTTTTGCTGGCAAGAGATTAAAAAATATTCTTTGATAAAAATGTACATGATAGGCCAGAACTCAAACCTATGAAGGAGGACTTGGTTCGCCAGAGGCCAAAAAGTTATATCATAAACTTGAAATAAGTCTGAGCAAACCAACCACAGAACAGTAGTAAAAATCACTTTTTCATCTTGGGTGGGGTAGAAGTGAAATACCATCCATTGTTGGGAGTGATGACAATAACTCTAATTTTGTGGAGAGAACCACAGATACATAATTTAAAACACAACCAATAGGTGCTGAATGGCATTTGCTGTGAAGTTGGTACCTCTGGAAAACTGCTATAAGATCTCTGAGGAAAAGGGTAGGTACAGAGGCAGGGCACTGTGTTAGAAATGTCTATAAGCAGACCATTTTAAATAAAAACTTTGGGTCTAAAAACAGACAGGGAGCAGGTTTTAAGTGATTAAAAACCACAAACAAAACCCACTCCCCCAAATCCATTTATATCAAACCAAGCTACCACAGCAGTTGAGCTTAGGTATAGCTTCAATACAAGCTGGACTCTAATCCTGAGATCTGAAATTACAAGTAAGATCAAGGGAGAAAACAAAGCTCATGCACAAGACATACTTGTTTCAAGATGGGCCAGTCTTAGTCATGTGAATGGGTAAGGTGAACAGTACCTATTCGGATCACATGGGCAACGATATACAAATCTCTCTTCATATCTTTGCTGCTCAGATCCTAAGAGAAAAAAATAAGTAAACTCAGGCAAGGAACACACAGAAAATAATTAAAAATTCATTTTGAATCTCTAGTCATTTGCTTTTACTGTATGTTACAGGTAGGGGAAGGGAAATTATAGCACATAGCACTTTAATAGTTTATAAGAGGCCTGGAGTAAAAGTCTGGATATCTTACAGGCCTTTGGAAGTTTACTTTATTGATAACATTTTTCTAGCTCTCATTTAAACCACTTAACAAATAAAAAGTCTATAAAAGTTCTCACATTAGAAATCTTCATGATATTGCATATTCCATGTTTACTCTAACATCATATAAAAACATTCCGTAACAGAAGGAATAAATGTTCAGCACAGAAAAAAATGGGAAACCACCAAAAAGCTCTTCAATAACTAAAATTCTGTAAGTTTGTTCTCCACTAATTTTACATTGATTCCTCTGTCCACAGATGATTATTACACACAAAGTATGTCCCACTTAAAAGAGATTAATTTATCAGTGAAACCTCAATAATTTGATTTCCATTTCTAAATTCTGATATTTATCATTTGTACTAAATTATAGTTGAAAATAATCTTAGTGAAAAAAATTAAGTTTCCTTTAAACAGATACAATCCAGAATCAAAACTAATTTCCAAACCAAAGGGTTATGAAAATCATTCCTTTCTCTTTCTTTCTTCCTTTTCATTAAAAAACAAGGTGTTGTACAAAGATACTTAGACTCCCACAAAATAATAATGGGAGATTTTAACACCCCACTGTCAACATTAAACAGATCAACGAGACAAAAGGTTAACAAGAATATCCAGGAATTGAACTCAGCTCTGCACCAAGGTGACCAAATAGACATCTACAGAACTCTCGACCCCAAATCAACAGAAAATACATTCTTCTCAGTACCACATCACACTTATACCAAAATTGACCACATAGTTGGAAGTAAAGCACTCCTCAGCAAATGTAAAAGAACAGTAATTATAACAAACTGTCTCTCAGACCACAGTGCAATCAAACTAGAACTCAGGATTAAGACACTCACTCAAAACCACTCAACTACATGGAAACTGAACAACCTGCTCCTGAATGACTACAGGGTAAATAACGAAATGAAGGCAGAAATAAAGATGTTATTTGAAACCAACAAGAACAAAGACAAAACATACCAGAATCTCTGGGACACATTTAAAGCAGTGTGTAGAGGGAAATTTATAGCACTAAATGCCCACAAGAGAAAGCAGGAAAGATCTAAAATTGACACCCTACCATCACGATTAAAAGAACTAGAGAAACAAGAGCAAATGCATACAAAAGCTAGCAGAAGGCAAGAAATAACTGAGATCAGAGCAGAACTGAGGGAGATAGAGACACAAAAAAACCCTTCAAAAAGATCAATGAATCCAGGAGCTGGTTTTCTGAAAAGATCAATGAAATTGATAGACCACTAGCAAGACTAATAAAGAAGAAAAGAGAGAACAATCAAATAGATACAATAAAAAATGATAAAGGGGGTATCACCACCGATCCCACAGAAATATAAACTACCATCAGAGAATACTATAAACACCTCTATGCAAATAAACTAGAAAATCTAGAAGAAATGGATAAATTCCTGGACACATATACCCTGCCAAGACTAAACCGGGAGGAAGTTGAATCTCTGAATAGATCAGTAACAGGTTCTGAAATTGAGGCAATAATTAATAGCCTACCAATCAAAAAAAGTCCAGGACCAGATGGATTCACAGCCAAATTCTACCAGAGGGACAAGGAGGAGCTGGTACCATTCCTTCTGAAACTATTCCAATCAACAGAAAAAGAGGGAATCCTCCCTAACTCATATTATGAGGCCAGCATCATCCTTATACCAAAGTCTGGCAGAGACACAACAAAAAGGAGAATGTTAGACCAATATCCCTGATGAACATCGATGCAAAAATCCTCAATAAAATACTCGCAAACCAAATCCAGCAGCACATCAAAAAGCTTCTCCACCATGATCAAGTGGGCTTCATCCCTGGGATGCAAGGCGGGTTCAATATATGCAAATCAATAAATGTAATCCAGCATATAAACAGAACCAAAGACAAAAACCACATGATTATCTCAATAGATGCAGAAAAGGCCTTTGACAAAATTCAACAGCCCTTCATGCTAAAAACTCTCAATAGATTAGGTATTGATGGGAGGTGTCTCAAAATAATAACAGCTACTTATGACAAACCCACAGCCAATATCATACTGAAAGGACAAAAACTGGAAGCATTCCCTTTGAAAACTGGCACAAGACAGGGATGCCTTCTCTCACCACTCCTATTCAACATAGTGTTGGAAGTTCTGGCCAGGGCAATCATGCAAGAGAAACAAATAAAGTGTATTCAATTAGGAAAAGAGGAAGTCAAATTGTCCCTGTTTGCAGATGACATGATTGTATATTTAGAAAACCCCATCGTCTCAGCCCAAAATCTCCTTAAGCTGATAAGCAACTTCAGCAAAGTCTCAGGATACAAAAACAATGTGCAAAAATCACAAGCATTCTTATACACCAATAACAGACAAACAGAGAGCCAAATCATGAGTGAACTCCCATTCACAATTGTTTCAAAGAGAATAAAATAGCTAGGAATCCAACTTACAAGAGATATGAAGGACCTCTTCAAGGAGAACTACAAACCACTGCTCAACGACATAAAAGAGGACACAAACAAATGGAAGAACATTCCATGCTCATGGATAGGAAGAATCAGTATCGTGAAAATGGTCATACTGCCCAAGGTAATTTATAGATTCAACGCCATCCCCATCAAGCTACCAATTACTTTCTTCACAGAATTGGAAAAAAACTACTTTAAAGTTCATATGAAACCAAAAAAGAGCCCGCATTGACAAGAAAATCCTAAACAAAAAGAATAAAGCTGGAGGCATCACGCTACCTGACTGCAAACTATACTACAAGACTACAGTAACCAAAACAGCATGGTACTGGTACCAAAACAGAGATATAGGCCAATGGAACAGAACAGAGCCCACACATCTACAATTATGTGATATTTGATAAAAACAAGCAATGGGGAAAGGATTCCCTATTTAATAAATGGTACTGGGAAAACTGGTTAGCCATATGTAGAAAGCTGAAACTGGATCCCTTCCTTATACCTTATAGAAAAACTGATTCAAGATGGATTAAAGACTTAAATGTTAGACCTAAGATGTTAGACCTAAGACAATAAAAACCCTAGAAGAAAACCTAGGCAATACCATTCAGGACATAGGCATGGGCAAGGACTTCATGACTAAAACACCAAAAGCAACGGCAACAAAAGCCAAAATTGACAAATGGGATCTAATTCAACTAAAGAGCTTCTGCATAGCAAAAGAAACTACCATCAGAGTGAACACGCAACCTACAGAATGGGAGAAAATTTTTGCAATCTACCCATCTGACAAAGGGCTAATATCCAGAATCTACAAAGAACTCAAATTTACAAGAAAAAATCAAACAACCCCATCAAAAAGTGGGCAAAGGATATGAACAGACACTTCTCAAAAGAAGACATTTATGCAGCCAACAGACATGTGAAAAAATGCTCATCATCACTGGCCATCAGAGAAATGAAAATCAAAACCACAATGAGATACCATCTTACACCAGTTAGAATGTCGATCATTAAAAAGTCAGGAAACAACAGGTGCTGGAGAGGATGTGGAGAAATAGGAATGCTTTTACACGGTTGGTGGGACTGTAAACTAGTTCAACCATTGTGGAAGAAGACACTGTGGCGATTCCTCAGGGATCTAGAACTAGAAATAGCATTTGACCCAGCCATCCCATTACTGGGTATATACCCAAAAGATTATAAATCATGCTACTGTAAACACACATTCACACGTGTGTTTACTGCGGCACTATTCACAATAGCAAAGACTTAGAACCAAACCAAATGTCCATCAATGATAGACTGGATTAAGAAAATGTGGCACATATACACCATGGAATACTATGCAGCCATAAAAAAGGATGAGTTCATGTCCTTTGTAGGGACATGGATGAAGCTGGAAACCATCATTCTGGGCAAACTATCACAAGGACAAAAAAACGAACACCGCATGTTCTCGCTCATAGGTGGGAATTGAACAATGAGAACACCTGGACACAGGGTGGGGAACATCACACACCGGGGCCTGTTGTGGGGTGGGGGAAAGGGGGAGGGATAGCATTAGGACATACAACTAATGTAAATGACGAGTTAATGGGTGCAGTACAGCAACATGACACATGTATACATATATAACAAACCTGCACATTGTGCACATGTACCCTAGAACTTAAAGTATAATAATTTAAAAAAAAAAGAATAAAAGTTTTAAAAGAAAACAAAAAAATAAATAAGGTCTTGCTCTGTCACCAGGATGGAGTACAGTGGTGTGATCACGGCTCACTGCAGCCTTGTCCTCTGGGTCAAGTGATTCTCCCACCTCAGCCTCCCAAGTAAGTGGTACTACAGGTGTGCACCATCATGCCCAGGTATTTTTTAAATTATCTGTAGAGATGGGGTCTTGCTATGTTGTCAGAACTGGTCTCAAACTTCTGGGCTCAAGCAATCTTCCTGCCTCAGCCTCCCAAAGTGTTGAGATTACAGGTGTTAGTTACCATGCCCAGTCTGATAATCATTCTATTTGTGTTTAGAACATATGTTGAAATGTTTGTTGATAAGTATGCATTATGCTTTTTAAATGTATTATCCTTGAAATAACAAAAATTCATTTAATATATTTTCTGTTTCAGATTTTTCACCAGGCCATCAACTTGCTGCTCTCTCAGTCATTATTGCGAGTTAATGGTACTTGATGGAATAACCTTTGCCCTTAATGTGACTGGTTTCTGTGATCTCCCTTTTGCTTCTAGGAAAGGCTCCCTTAGTTTTGCTTCCTTTTCCTTTTTCATCTTTTGATTGACCCCAGATGCCTGTCTCTCTTCAATTAAAAAAAAAAAAAAGGTACAA